GCCCGGGCCGCGCGGGGCTGCGGGAACCCCAGGCTCGTCTGGCACCGAGCTGGGCTCGGGCTTTGAGAGCGGGCCAAGTTGCCAGGCGAGAGGAGCGGCGACTGACAGGGGAACGGCGAGGCGTGGGGAGCGCCGGGGGCGCCATGGCGGAAGGCGGGCACACCGGCGGCTCTTCAATGTCACCAGCGAAATGGGTTCCATATGTCCGACCCGGCAGAGAAGGGAGGGGAAGGGAGAGAGTTCTGGGCAGGACAGGAGTGGGGACAGGGAAGGGGGCAATGGAGGCAACAGAGCAATGGCGAGGGGTCAATGGGAAGGATCAGAGGGGCGAGAAAGGTTTGCATCTCCCCTTTTCCCTCGAGTTTTCTAAAGCTGCTTAGGCTGGTAGGAACTTTCTTTCCCTTTTTCCTTTTCTTGTTCTTTCCTGTAAGGTGGGGGAGGAAGGAGATTAGTAGGGGAAGCATCCGCTTGTTAAGGCTGGGAGTTTGAGGGAGATGTGGAATGGAGGTGAAAGTTCTTAGGCGGCTGGAAGATCAACAACTTCTCCAGGTCCCTAGAGAAAAAAGAGACCAAACCCACAAAGGGGAAGAAAAGCCAAGTAAAGGATTGCAGGGTCCAGGTGTCAAAGACTGGTCCCAACTCCCCCACCCCCATGATGAAATTCTGTTTGGGGAGGTCCCAATGATTAAGTTACTGATGCTGGCGATGGTGGTGGAGGCTGAAGTGTCCTGGTCATCTTGGCCATTCCCTGGCACTTCAGATCCTGCCACAGCTGCCTCACACCTGATTTAGCACCCCCAAGGGCCTACTCTAGAGTTAGTTGTTTCTGAGATGGCCTGGGCTTTGGGCAGCTTCCTGTAAAGAAGGCTACTAGGGACCAGGGAGCCTGGAGGAGCTTCCCTCTGTGCCTGCTCCCCAAGGTCTTTGGGCTCTTTATCTGTGTTGGGTCTCTCTGTCTTTCCTAACCATCTCTGTTGTCTCGGTTCCTTTCTCACAGCCCCTTTGTCTTTTTCAAACTCTGCCTCTCTCAGTGTCTTTAGTGAATTTGAATTGAGCCTTGCAAAGGATTTAGGAGTGTCTCCAGAAATCACTTCTGGGCTCACTCATTAGGTTGAGTCTCTTCTTCCCTTTCCTCTGTGGGGGAACCCACCCTCTGTCCAGAGAAATTATCTTCTAGAGAGAAGGGGACAAAGGGAGTAGTTTCCTTCCCACTTCCCTTCTCACTTAACTGTGTGTGTGCGTCCCCTTGTGAGTTGTGGGGCTCCTTGCTCCAGGACAGCCTCCCTTCCCCTCTGACTGGCCTTTGTTTCCACTCTCCCTGTCATCCCCTCCTTGGGCTCAGCCTTGACTTTCCACCCCAGAAAGGGATCCTGCTGCTTGTTCTCTCTCTGGGTACCTCTCTTCCTCTTCTCACTCTTCATCTTTCTATACAATTCCTCTGGTCACTAAAGCAAGCGTTAGCAACCTGGCTTCTTAAAGGCACAGAGATAAACACTGCAATTATATAGAGAGGATACCAGCAGAGAATTACGGGAGAAGACAGAGTCCGCGGCTTTCCCAGAGCTCTGTCTCCCAGATGCATTCTACCCCAACCCCTGAACAACACAAAAGCAAATCAATGGGGTGGAGGGTGCAGGACTTGTAAGAGACAGGGTGCTTCATAGCTAAATGAAGCAAATGTACATATAAACAACAAAATACTTTCAAACTTGCTGATTGGGGTAGGCCCACATGCCTGGATGGAAGGCATTGGGCATCACATGAGGGGATTTACCAGAAAATGGTGGCAAGGGATGGTCCCCTTGCTTTGTCTCCTGGGGAAGAGCCTGTGCGTGTCAGGGAAAGTGGGGGGAGGGGGTATCAGTGTCATCTCCCCTTCTCTGGGCCAGAGGAGACAAAGACCTGAAGAGGGCTGAAAGAATAAAGAGGAAAAGCTAGTGGAGTGTGGGGGTGGTTGGTCAGACTTCCACGTCACAGGCAAAGGTAGCAGCAGGAGGGGAGATGGAAAAGGGTTGGGGAGGAGGAGTTGCAAACGCAGGCAGGGGGAAGGGGGCCTGTGGGACTGGCTTTCCACGCTAGTTATGGGCTGGCCCAAAGAGCAGATCTTTCCCATCTTTCAAAGCATGCTGAATTCAGAAGCTAATACAAATGATTCTACCCTCTTCCTTCTCTTTCATTTTCCTCCTCTTCCCCATGGACGAGGTGATCCTTCCCTGCCCTCTCAAAAACTCCAATACTTTGCCCTAATTGTGGACCACCAGTTTGAGGGAGAACTCACCCTCTTCACAGTTCCACCACCCCACACTTTCTAGGTGAGGGAGAAGTAGAAATGCTTGCCTCCCACACTGAAGGTATGGGGGATTCTCCAACACTCAAGGAGTGGGTGGGGAATGAGACTGAAAGGTTTGGAGCCCCTATGCCCCATGTCTCTTTGCTGCCTCTGCCGGCCCTTCCCACCTCCTCACAATCTCCAGTGCTGTCAAAGCTGCCCCTGAATCCAGACTTTCCCCAGTTCCTTTTATCCAGGTCAGGCAGTGCCTCTACCTATCCCAGCCTTGGGTCCTGGCCTTCTCTTTCTCCTCAAACCCTTTTCAACAGAGACTCCCGAATTGGGAGGCTTCACCCACCACCCACTGAGAATCCCTTGTTAACATGGATGAGACTCAGTGTGTTAACTCCCTTGTTAACATGGATGAGACTTGGAGGAGAGTGTGGGAGTGAGCTCCTGGATGCTGCGGGGACTGGGGCCTGAGCTGCCACTCCACGTAGCTAGCGGATGCCATGAATAATTAACACCTGGGTGCGGCGTTGCTCTAACTTCCCTGCTCAAAGGTTTACACTAGCAGGCAGAGTTAAATATCACAGATAATCGTGGCTATAAAGTCAGTTGGCCTGGCTCCAGTCAGGGAATGAGCGGCCAACAGCTGGGACTGGAGTTGGCAAAGGCTCTGGCCCTCTGCACTTCATCCATCACAACTTTGGGGCACAGTGTAGAACATTCCCCAAAGCCACCTCTGGCTTTGCTCTTGACCAGCAGCCTCTCCCCTTGTAGGAAGGAACTGTGACCTCCACATGAAACTATAGGGGAAAGTTAACAGCTCTTCCCCTCCCTCTCCAATCTGCACCCCGTTTGCTCCCTTTTTGGATGGGGACTTAGTTAAAAGAACACACTCGACATCCTTCGACACTCCAACTTTCTGGGACCACCTGATTCCTAGAACATTTCTAGAAAAACTTCGGAGAACTTCTCCCCACATTAGCCCCAAACACAGAGTCCCTCACTGCCGAGGAAACTTTTCTTTGTTTCAGCAGGTCAAAGGAAGGCTCCTGGGGTATGAATTCATTTCCTTGTTTTGTTAGCCAGGAGGGTGGGGAGCCAAAGTTTTCAGCTTCTCCCCCTGCCCTTCACCCTTTGCTTGCCTCCATTGTCTCCCCCAATTTGGGTAACTCCTTTTCCACCTTCAACCACCCCCCAGACACATCAGTCCTATAAATTAAGCTTTAATAATGTAACGGAACCCCTCCCATCCCTTTCCAATTGCGCAGAACTTTGATTTGGTCTCCATTGATCACAAAAATCTTTGCCTTCAACTCCAGTAATTTCTTTCTCCACTTCCACCTCTCTTACTCTTAAGGCTCCTTCTGCCTTCAGAGTTGGGTTTGCTCACCCAGGGCTGGAGTTGGAGAAGCCAAACTCCTGGAGGGGAGCCGCTAAAAAATAGAGCTCTGTCTGCTGCTGCAGGAATGTTGGCTCTATCAGGCTCACAAATATAATTTTTACATTAGACTGTGGTCTTTGACTGGGTTTGTATGCCAATGAGGCATTTCTGGTTTACCAAATTTATATAAATCTCGCTTTAATTGATAATCACAGATGCTGTAATTTAAGACCTCCAGCTATAGAGCTTTCATATTAACTGCTGATATATTACTGTAAATCGTCTGAAATAACCAACTCCTGGGAGCAGAGCAGAGAGGGAGGAAGTGCCTCCGAGAGCGACTCTCTCCCGGCCAGCCGCAGAAACAGCCCAGCTTCCACATCATTTTCCGTGAAAAATGATTTATCGAAGACATGGCCATAAACAACACAACTCGCTCACAAACACACACAGACGCACGCGCGCACACACGCGCACACACACACACAATGGCTGGCATGCTGGCCGAGAAGCTGACACCCATATTGCTATAAATCAAGAAAAAGGTTGGAGGAGAGAGGGAGAGGGAGGGAGGGAGGGAGAGAGAGGGAGAGAGAGAGAGAGAGAAAGAGAGAAAGAGAGAGAGAGAGAGAGAAAAGAAGAATATTCCTAAAATCTCTATGCAATGCCTCAATGGGTATAAACACACAGAGCACCGTGTGAAGAGAAATGGCAGGAAATGAAGATGGCTATTTGTCACATTTTACGACAATAACATTAATAACAAACAATAAATTTACATGGACATATAAGACGCGGTAGGTAGTGAGAAATCCCTTCTACTTACAATACCCCAGCCCGCGGTGTGGCTCCGGCTGCGGGGCTGTTTTATTGCTGTCTCCCTTTCTTTTTCTCTCTCTCTCCCTCTCTCTCCCCCTCTCTCTTTTTTTTTTCTCGGGGTACAGGCTTGTTTTTCAAAGGACAGTTGAATTGCACGTCAGAAACAGGGAGACCGAGCCTGCGATTTTCCTGACGAATACATATCTATTCTGCAACCTCGGCATTAATTATTTAATGAATCACGTGACCGGGAGGGGGAAGGGGGTCTTTCGATTTCAGGCTCAAAGGACCACTATGACCTTCCCCTTCAGGAGGAGAAATTTTCCTGCAAAATAAGTTCCCCCCGAACCCACCAATGGAACAGTAGTGAGGTCTCCGTCTGTCTCCCACACTCACATCCATACCTACTACATCTGCAGCTCCTTAACCCCTCTGGACACACACTTACCCACAGCCCACCTCTCCTCTCTCCCTTCTCCTCTTGCTTCTGCTTAGTTCGTGGAGGTGCAGAAATAGTCTGCAGGGGCGTCTGGGGGGTGGGGGTGGGGTGGGCACAGAGCCCTTCTCCAAGCCCCTGGATTTCTCAGCTTCCAGTTCTTCTCTCTGCATCCTTTAGGATTAAGATTTCTTCCCCAGCTGCATTTTCTCCCCCACTCCTGGGGGTATTTATTTGAGTGGGACTTCCTAAATAATGGACAAAATTTCTGAAGGAGCCACTTTGAAAATAAACACTTCATAAGTCCGTGGTATAAGTGGATAAAGAATGGGACTTCTGGCTTTATTCTCATTTTGATCTTTTCTGGTACCTTTTGAAGAGGCAAAAAAGGGACAGGGTGAAGAGATTACTCTGGAGCTTTTAGAGTTGAGAATAACCGCAAGGGGGACTTTTTTTTCCCTGTTGTGTTGTTACTACTATAGGAAACCAAATGTGACTGACCGTTTGAAAATAGATTCTAGAGACAAAGACTGGGACTAAGGTTTCTACACAAAAGAATCGGACTGTCAGCCTCTCCCTACCTATGTCACACCCTGTCTCATTCCCCCCCGCCCCACTTCCCAAACCCACCAGTGAAGACAACTGGAGATTTGAACAGGAGAGGAGGGAAAAGAGACGAAAAGCTTTGAAGTCAGCCTGGCAGCCCCAGGATCCCTATTTCCCAGGTGTTAGCACCCCGAGCTTCCAATCAACAAACAATGGAGGCTGATCAATGGGAAAAAGATGGGGAACGGCTGTGCCTGTTAAAGGGTTAAATATCAGGGACTATCTATTCCCTAGGCCTAAAGAGAGAGACACACAGACCCCTTCACCTCAAATATAAACAAAATAAAACAAAAACAATCCCCCGCCCAAACTTGACCAGTTACGTGCAACAAGAATCAGAGTTCTCGGCCGGGGCATGGGGTGGGGGTGGGGATGCAAAGGGAAGCAGAAAAGACATTCCTGAAGAAGCCGCAGCCTTATCTGTCCTCAGCAGCTCTCGAGGCAGCCAGGACCACAGCCTCCAGGGCAGGCGGGGAATCCAGGAAGAATGAGCTTTAGGGTAGGGGAGCAGGGATCTGAGGGGCCTCCCCCAGCTTGTTTGAAGGGGTCTAAACCAAAAGCAACTCAGTGGAGAGAAGGTTGAGGACCCGGTTGTCTTAACAAACCCCAAAGAAACAGCCACCCCGGTCTCAGCCTCGGAGGTTCCAGCTACAGTGGCAGCTGCACAGCTTCTGCCCCAGCCAAAAGCACTGGAATCTGCTCTGGCCTCATGGGGTGGGGGCGCCGGCCAGGCCTGGACTCTGTAGGGGAGGTGGTCAGCTTTGATTGTCCAGATACAAAACACAGACTGGTATTGAATTCAGCCTGATCCCGATGTGGGCCCTGCTCCCGGCTCCAGCGAGGGCAACTCCCTGAAAGGTTCTGGCCACAAATCCATTAAAAATGGTCCTCCAAAGAAAAACACTCTGCTAAAGTCTAAAATAAAAATAGCAGAGAGAGAGAGGAGAGAGAAATGCTGGATGTGAGAAGAGAGCAATCTCTAAAACGGAGAAATAACTTTTAAGGACAAGAAAAAGAACAGCAAAATGACACGAAGGCATGCCGGCAGGTTCTGTTAAAATGACCACACTCTTTTTGGATCCTGGGAATGTCCATGTTCAAATAAACAAGCGCCTGATCGCGAGCCGAGCACTTTCTTGCTGCCGATAAAGTGAACGTTTACACTGTGAGAAAGGCGAGATTGATTTACGAATCTGAACGCGCCAGTTTTATGGCTGATCACAAATCCGTCAGCGCTCAACTCACGCTGGGAAACTTCCCAACTCCGTTTTCCAACCAGACCCCCTCCCCAGCCGCCACTTCCCAGGGAGACCCACCACCAGCGCTGGGGCCGCCTCCGAGGGCTCTGGCAGGACTGGGCAACCCCCTCTGCCCAGGACAAGCGGGTGGAAGTAGGAGAGAGAATGGGGAGGGCCAAGGGAACTGGGGAGAAAGAGGGAAAGAAATCAAAAGGTTGGAAGAACTGGAGTGGCACCAGGATTGTCTGGAGTGAAGGAAATGGGAGATCTGGCAGTTTTCCTTCGTGAACCCCAGCCTTCTCTGACTATGGTCTCTCTCGTTTTCCCTTTGATGGGCCCTAATCCTCACACTGCAGAAAGCAGTTTGTAAAGTCCCTGGAGACTAGGTCTTTGTCCCTTGAGCCTATAGAGGGCCCACAACTGGCTGTCTGCCCTTATAGGTAATGAATGCACATCTCCCTGAGCCCCAAATATTTTTAGTCCAGGAGCAGGCTAGCTTGCTTTGTGCTCATCCTCTTTCCTTCCTGAGGCCTCCAGCCCCTCTACTTATGCCACCCAGGGATAAAGGAGAGACTATCAACCACTCCAGCTATTTATTGCCTGAAATAGAGTCCCCAAATTTCAAGAAACCATTTACAAAATGCAAACCAACAACCCACATATCCCAGCAAGTTTCTGTCTCTCCTAGTCTTAACTGAAGGGGAACATTTCGTCCTCCCAGCCAGCGTCTGTCTGTGTCTGTCTCTCTTTCTCTTTGTCTCTGTCTCTCCCTAAGAGGGTGGCTACTGGTATGGATTTTTAAGATACAGCAAACAGAATACAGTTTTTGGAAAGGCTCTATGTTCAGGGCTCACTGTTTGGCAAATCCTCCACCTATTTCTTAAAAGTTTCTGGAAACTTTGGCTAAGCTGGGACAGCAGGCCCTGGAAAGTACTCAGAATAGTCTACACTGATCCTCCTCCCATTTCCCTTGTTCCTCTGGTGGGTGAGGCACTCCAAGGGCTTTTTTTTGGTTATTGGGGAGATTGAGAATTAGGGTAAAGAGGTAAAGGTGATTGTAGAAATAGCTTCCTAAACAAAGGAACTTCAGAAAATGGGTTGACAGGCTGTGGATTTGGATGTCAGCCCTCAGAGAGATGACAGCCTCTGAAGCAATGTTCATGGCAGAAGCCCTTTCTCTTCGCAGCTCAGGAGTTTATTCCTCTGGCCCTCTGAAGCCTTGTGGATTAGGCCCCTCCAACCTCTCATATCTTCTCCCTTTGTCTTTCTTCCCTCAGTTCCCTCCAAGTGAAACAGTAAAGAGATGAACTGGACCTGGGAGTGGTGCCGGGAGGATGGCTGCAGTCTGGACTGCTGAAGGTGCTGTGTACAGAGAGACAGATAAGCACCCTATTTTCCTACCCCGACTGGACCCTTGGGCTAAAAATCTTTAAGTCTTCTCCCCCAGTGGACAGTAAGAGAAAAATAATCCAAAAGTTTCAAAATAGCAAAGATGGGTTTGGGGCCTAGAGGGGGTTGGAGAAGATGGGACATATGATGGGCCAAGGACCTCTCCCTGCAGAGGTGTGACTCTCCCTCCTGGGCAGGAGGCAAAAGCCAACACAATGTCCAGTCTCAGCGAGGTCAAGGGGCTTCCGAGGTCATTTTGTGGTTCTAATACTGAGCTAATCACCTAGAAAACGTGGCCTCTCCATGAACTCTCTCTCCTGCCAGCCTCCCGCCTCCAAACCCTAAGTGAGGCCTCAGGGAAAAAGGGCCAACACATTCAGGTCGGCTGCAGAGCCCACTGACTCCCTCAGCCTAAGAAACAGGGCTGCAGAGGAGAGAACAGAGACCTCAAATTAGGAGAGCAAAGGGAAATCAAACCAACATTGCTCCTTCAGGAAGAAGGCTGGGGGGACAGAGCAGAAGAGAAATATTTCTGCATCAGTGCACCTCGCCTGTGAACTGAGCAGTTTCCTGCTCCAGAGAGTAGCACGTATTTGTCTAGAATCCCAAGCTAGACACAAGAAGAAAAACAAGAACATATATCCATTTATACCCGCTCCAAAGCTGGAACATTCCATTCAAGCACTGGATTTGATTTTTCCAGGAGGCAGCAGTGACAGCATTGCACCGGTAAACAGAGAGACAGATAAGCAGATAGGCATAGGGGACACCAGTCCCCAGTGTAGACAAGCAGAGTCACAGGAACACACCGACCACATGTGGACCTCACTAGACACACCCATGCACACATGCTGGAGCTCGCTGTGCCTGCCTGCATTTTCCAAAACCAGAAAAGCGCCTCTGAACTGCCTCACAGAACAACCTTCTTCTCTGGGGTTTTTCATGGGTCCTGACACCTCAGTCCCAACCAATTCAAACACTCTCCAGGTGTCGAGGCCCCTCTCTCTCTCCCTCTGACCCAAGCATCAGTCATCATAAAAGGGAGAAAACCTGCCCAAGCATCCACCGTAAAAACCCAGCCAAGAGAGTTAAAAAAGAAAAAGGAGGAGGCGAGAGAGTGTTTCTTCTTTCACTTGTGAAAAGAGCTCATAAAACGATCAAAACACGCCAGCCTGGGCCAGGGCTTTGTTACCTTTGCGCCTCTCACCTCCTCTCGCCCGAACTCCGCCGATCCCATTCATGACGAAGGGCTTCTTCCAAACTGAGAGAAAAAAGTTTTCAACTTTATGATTCCAAATTTTTTCTCCCTTGCAGATCCGGGAGAGACGGCTAACACTTTTTTCCCCCAACAGCCGGTCTGAGGAGATTTGCTGTTGAATAATAACAAAGGAGAGAGGATACGTATTTAAAGAAAAGAAGTGATTAATGGTTTTCTGTATAATTCTCACATTTTTCTTAGCTCTTGTCTACACAGAATGGCTGTGAACTTTAAGCTCCATAGAAATCTTTTTTTTTTAAATTCTATTCATACCTTCCAAAGAGCAGCTTTGATTTGGTTCTTTAGAGACATTCCTTGGGGGGGCATATGCTTTTTTAAGAACTATTTTCCCCCTCAACTCGGGGCTTCGGCATCCCCTTGCAGCTAAAACACCACATGGCAATCTGACCGAAATAAAGCTCGCCCCTCTCATCCTCCAGGTCCACGACGATTTTTTATGAGTCTCCCAGCAGCATTTAAACGGACAGTTCAGCAGTCCTTTCGCGGCTGGGGACACCAGCCTGTCGGTTCCCCCTGCCCTACCCAGCCTCCAACTACCAGAGCTGCAAGCTGGAGGAATGCAAAATAAATAACAATAAAATGCGTGGGCGGGGGGGGGGGGTTGGTTCTTTTTATTTTCTGAAAGGAAATGGGACTGAAAAAACGACTTTTAATTGCATACGCTCTCCCGAGCCCCGAGCTTTTTGGAGGTGGGGTGGCTTCACCCTGGACGACCAATGGACCAGAGACCCTGAGGCTGGAGCTCCCAGACCTTAGAACTTCTAAGCAGTGCTGCATAAAAGCAATTCCAGCCTGACGGAACTTCTGAGGGTCACCTGCACCCCTTTCCCCTACCCCCACTCCATTCTAGGGGTGACTGGGACCTCAGAGACAGAAAGCTATTTGGTCCCCAGTCATACTTTCGATACTTTCTATGAGAAAGAAAATGAAAATTAATACTGGAGCAAGGCTTCACAAAAGAGGCCATTTGTCTTCTTGATTATCTATTTGCTTGTCAGAGTTTGAGCTATGGCACTGGCTAGCTCCTTTGTAATATAAAAATACTCTGAAAACCTGCAAACACCCAGAAACATCTGTGCAAAAAATTAGACTCATTAAAGCCTTAAACACCTCAGAGGAAAGCGATACCTTCTTATGCTGCGAGGAAAGAGGCCAGCCTCATGGAATCCTCTCTCGGAACTTTAATAACCAAAGAGCCGTCTGTCTAGAAGGAGACAGCTTAACCGCATTTTATTTGCTTATGACAAATAAATCACGATATGAAAGGCTTTGCCATACTTAAGCCTCTTGTGTCCTACAATGAAACATTTTCCCCCATTAGGGACTGGAATCAGCCCTCCCAGTCCTTTCAATCCATTTTTGGACTGAAGGGAAAAAATTAAAAGCCCCAAAACGAAACACACCCATCCTAAAAGGAAAACAAACCAGCCACCACAATTTGGAGTCCTCTGAGATAAAAATTCCCATCAGACTCTTTGACAAAAAATCTTCAACCACACACAATGTGAGGCTGAACCCACTAGGGTGCTTAAAATATACACTGGGTGGCATTTGTCCATATCTTTACGCCAATGTTTCAACAAAAACACGCTATGCTGGTCACAAGAAACCAAACATTTATTTCTATTGTCACTCTGTACAGCACACAGATATTCACACGTAGGAAGGGTTCTAAACTCAAGCAGCCCCAGAGGTAGGAAAGGGCCTGGTTTTGGAATGTCAGAAAGAGAAAAGGAGAGAGGACGCACATGACACAAAAAAATAGTAATAATAATATTATCAATACTAATAATAAACGATGCAACATGATAAACTATGGTAGAGGGCTCTGCAACATCCTCCTCCCAGACTGGGAGGGGCACATTTTATTTCCTAGTTTCACATTCATTTTCAGTCTAGGAGAGAGGCCTCTGCTGTACAACTCTGGACTGGCAGAGTAGTGCCCAGCTCCCAGAACTCAACTGGCCCCTCACCCTGCCAGGCATGGCTTGGCTTGGCCTTCCAGAGGAAGGCCCTCCCGGGTCTCTGAGTCTCTCTTTTTCCTTGGACTCAATTTTCCTCCTCACTCCTGAGTTGTCAAGGCCACCCGCTTCCCTACTTGCTCCCCTCCTCTGTTCCCCACCCCCCAACCCCACGGTGGAAGTGGGTGAGCAGTCATTCTGGCCCTCCGTGAACGGGCACGGAGGATGAGGGAGAGTGTGTGTGCGTTTGTTACCGTGGCCAAAACACTGCACTATCTGGCAGTCAGAGGGTGCTTTCGCTGAGTATCGGGAGTGGGGGACAAAGAAAGGAAATCCAGGCTGTCTTCCAGCAACGGCAGCAGCAGAGGCGGAGGCGGCCGAGCCGGGCCTCATTTGTTAGCGGGTGTCGAGGTAATGGTCGCCACCGAGGCCCGTCCTCTCCTCGGCAGAGTAAACAAGACAGATGGGCCTGGGCCTGGCGTGATTAAAGATGAAACGTGGATCCATCTTCGCCAAAGCTGAAAACGAGGAGCTGAGGAGCTGCAGCCTCCTCCTATTTCTCTTTCTGTTTTTTTCTTTCTTCCTTCTTCTTTTTCTTTTTTTTTTTCTTTTTTTTTTTTTTTTTTTTTTTCTTTTTAAGGAAGAAAGCAAGAGATTTGAATCTTGCTTCTGGGGGGGCCTCCCCGTGGCCCTCTATTGTCATTTCTATAAATAAAGCTTCCCCTCCCCCTCTTCTGCGTTTATTCGCATATAAAGTGTGGGGGAGGGCAGATAGATTTTTCCGGGGCCCAGGCCCCAGAGCCCCCTCCTGTCCCCCCACCCCATCCCCTGCACTCACTGCCCACCCCCACCCCGAGGTTCGTGGCTCCCGCGTGCGGGGGCACTAGAGCGCGGGGGGTCCTCCATTGGGCCGGCCAGGGGTCCCTCCGGCTGAGCCTGCCGCACCACCCGAGCGGATCTTGGTGTTGGGCAACTTGTGGTCTTTTTTCCACTTCATGCGCCGGTTCTGGAACCAGATCTTGATCTGGCGCTCGGAGAGGCAGAGCGCGTGGGCGATCTCCACCCTCCGGCGCCGTGTCAGGTAGCGGTTGTAGTGAAATTCCTTCTCCAGCTCCAAGACCTGCTGGCGAGTGTAGGCGGTCCGAGAGCGCTTGGGCTCCCCGCCGGCGTAATTGGGGTTTACTGGACACACACGGAGAGAGGGAGAAAGAGAAAGTTTTATTGCCCCCGAAAGGAAGAGCCCTTTCTTCCAGCGAACACAGTGTTTCCCTCCCTCCCTCTCCCGCCACCTCTTCTTCTTTCCGAGGGAGAGGGGGAAAAACGAAAAGGGAAGAATGCAAGACCCAAGAATGAGAGAGACCTCCAAGTTTTGGAGAGCTGTGCTGTGTCCTTGTTGTTTGGGTGTCTGGTGGGGAGGGGGGGCGTGTGAGAACTCCCCCAAGGTTTTAATTGCTCCTCTGTCTCCCTCAGCTTGGGGCCCCCAGAATGGGAGAATAAGGTGGTGGAAGAGGGAGGGGAGGTTTCCCTAAACCTTTCCTCTGTTTAGTTCCCACCCTTGCTGCTCAGATTCCAAGCAGTGCCTGCCCCTACTGAAAACTTTTACCTACTTCTCCAGCCAAGGAGTCAGACTGGAAGAAAGGAAAAAATAAATACTGGGAGTTGACTCAACTCTCTGCTTAAATACGGATTACCTCCTCCTCCTTCTCCTCCTCCATCTCCTACACCCCTCCCCAACTTCCAACTTCACTGAGACTGTATCTTCCTGGCGAAAAAGTGGCTGGTGAGAATGGTGAAGAGGATGGGGAACCTACTTCAAAGGCTCAGGGCCCACCAGGCCATAAAAATTTATGGGGGATGTAATTATGTGGCTCTGAAAACAGGCGACCGTAAATCTCTGGCAATGGCGAGTTTATAGCGGGGACAATTGGCTTCCCCAGCTCACCCCCCCACCCATGCCTCCGAGGTCCCTTTGGTGTAAAGCTCCAGGGGTGGGAGGGGGAAAGGGTGCCCACGCACTCACCCGTGCTCACGTGAACTTTGCGCATCCAGGGGTAGACGACTGGCTCTTTGCACGCGGAGTGGGACGGGCTGGGGTGCAGGGGGTTCTGGGCGCAGGGAGGCGGCGGGGGGCTGCTGCTGACCGCCTCGCAGCGCTGGCCGGGCTCCGGGAGGAGGGCCCCGGCGGGTGGCGGCGCAGGAGCCCGAGGGGACAGCCCGGGCGGTGGCGGGGGCGGCGGGGGTGGTGGCGGAGGCGGCGGGGGCCCAGGGTCCCGGCAGGCCGCATAGCGCTGCACGGTGCACGCCGCGCGCCGCCCGAAGCCCGCCTCCGGCTGGAAGCTGCTCTCTCGCCTCTGGCCGCCGGCGTAGTACCCGGGCGAGTGGTCGCTGGGTAGGTAATCGCTCTGTGAATATTCCTCGCATGGAGGGAACTTGGGGTCGACATAGTTTGAGTTGATCAAAAAAGAACTCATAGCCATTAATTTCTGGGAATTGCCCACAAAATATACTAAAATTTATTCCGACCCCTGACTCGTTTTCCTGTTTCCGAAAGCCCTCCTACTTACTGTCAAGTGAACAAAGTTAGGCGCCCACGTGATCCTCCGAGCCAATGGCCGACCCGCCTGCGATTCCCGGATAAGGAAATCTGCTCACCCGGACCCCACTCCAGCCACAGAGGTTTATTTCCCCTTCTTCTCTTCCCCCTCCCCCCCCCCCCCCCCAACACCAGGATTTACATAGGGCTCCTGCGGGGCGACCCCCTCCTTGCCTCGCTCTCTCTGGGATCAGAGAGAGAGAGAGAGCGCGCGCAGGTTGCGACTGGAGGGCCTGTTGGGGCGCTGGGCAGAGCGCAAACCCTAGATCCCTTAAGAAGTTGGGGCTCCCGGTGTAGCCCCTCCTGTTCTGCCTCACCTCTGCCCAGCATTCTCTACCTTCCATAGGCCCCAGTCTCCTCCCCTCGGCAGGAGGGAGCCCTAGCACCCTGCGTCTCTATGGGGAGTTAGGTTACTGGCGGGCTGGGGGCTCCGTCTCGAAAGGGGAACCCATACAGGGGCCAGAGCATAGAGCTTGGGGCTTTTCTCTGCAGCCGGATGGGGAGGGGTAGGGGTGAGAGAGGAGGCGTCCAGAGCTAGAGGGCGGGTGCGCAGAGGGACTTGTCAGAGATGAATGGAACCGCGGGCGGATCGATAGGAAATTCATGCACTAATTCGGGGAGACCTCGCCTTCCAAATCGCATTTAGCTGTGCAGTTAGCTAGACTGTATCAGTCAGTCCGTCTGTCCCCCTTCTCCTATCCACTCCTCCCTTTAATCCACGCGGCTCAAGCCCGGAGAAACGACTTGGTTTCCCACACTATGGATAGAGCGCTGGGGTAAAAAACCTGCAACTTTTGAGAGCAAAATTGATTAGCAATTTGCTAATTCCATAACCACCCGAGCAATACTAACCATGGGTCCGAGACGTTCTAATTGTCGCTAATGCCGCTGCCTCCGCGGCGAATAGAAATCTCACATCCCTGTGATACTGGGAATACAGCCATAGAGGTTGTATTATGTGTGTACCCCCACACATAATAACACCCCTTGGTAATCGAGTATTTCCAGGTCATCTTGTTCTGAACTGAAACGGAAAGGCGACCTCAGCATCCGTTTGTTAAGCAAATTTCCTTTGCCTTCTTCGCACACCGAAGACGAGTCATTTTTTTCGAAATTTCCAATAAAGCCTCCCTGAGCCCAGAATGGAAAGTGGGTGCGTTTGGGACGAGAATATAAATTTAAAACTTCAACAACAATAACATTAACCTCTTAAAGAGAGGTGAAAAAGGACCAAGGCTCCCAGGGGCAGGCGTGGGAAGAGTTCAGGTAGATGATTTCTCCATCTCTAACCAGTTGAAGGAGGAAAAGAAAGAGGAATAAAGAGGAAGGAGTCTTCGTGTGGCCAGTCACCAGATTGTCCTCATTCAGAAAAATAATACATATATATATTATTTTTTTCTTCTGGAAAAATACGAGCGGAGTGTTTATGTCAACTACATATTCCCCTAGATACGAATTTGTGACCACAAAATTCCTTACACAAATTCGGATCTACAGGGTATATACAGAAGACAGACAGATCTTCTTGGCCCAGAAATTTTCCAGTTCTCCTACTTTCCGCGCCTTCTTCGTTTGGGGTGTGGTTTGAGTGCTTTGGTTTTATGTCGTTTTTTTCTAGTTTTGAGCGCTGGGAACAGAAAAAGGCACTGCGAGTCCGTTCTTGGGATTACAAGGTTTTCAATTCTCTTCTATTAGAATTACAAGTAGCCAGTTCGGAAAGGGACGGGAACCTTGCCGCCGCCGCCGCCGCCGCCGCCGTGCAACTCTCGGTGGCGCATGAATTATGAGATGTAAACATTAGCTAAGCACAAAAGGAGGAAGGGTCATTCTGAGGCTGCCGCGAAGTCAGATTCAAGCCTTTCTGGGTGCCTTCGCGCCCCTCCCCTCCCCCCAGGACCTTTTTTTTTTTTTTTTTTTTTTTTTTTAGAAAAAACAAAACTCCAATCGGCTCCTCCCTGCCCCTCCAAGCCGTTAGTTTGTGATCAAACGAATATCTAGATATTTTCCAAAGCGCCTCTCAGCGAAGGGAGGAGGAAGAGGCGGCTGGGTGTGAAGGAGGTGTAATAAAAGTCCTTTTGGAAAAATTCAGTGGTAAAAAGAGAGAGAAACAGCTGTAAAGAAAAATGCTGGGAGACCAAGCAGATGGGGCCCCGATATTTAATGACGGGCAATTCCGTTTACAACCTGAGAAAAGATCAAAGGCGTTTCATTTCCGAATGAAGGGCAATGAGGAACCATAAAAGATGCAGCCAGATGATATAGGGTCCCTCCCAGACTCTCACACATCCTGGGAGCCAGGAGAGGGGGTCTATCCTGGGGAGGTGTGGGAGGAACCCCATTTCCCCAGCTTCCTAGCCCCAAGCGGGTCCTTTCCTTCTAAACACATATGAACTCGCTTAGCCACCTGCTTGGGTTGCTAGTGGTAGGACCAAAATGGGCATCTGGGGTTTCGGAACCAACTTTCTGAGGCTCCCAGAAGTCGTGAATTTTACTAAGCTGAGAGTCTGGGGATTGGGCTGGAGGGAACTGAGACTGTGAAAGCTGTGACAGAGTAAGGGAAAATGTGCATAGAAAAAGCCTCCACCCCACCCAGACTCCCTACTCAACTCCCTAGGTCTGAGAAATATTTGCATCTCTAGTGAGGAAGTCAAAATAATATCAATTTCATTAACAAATACAGGAACAACACAAAAACAACCCTCTAACTACAAAACTCCAGAGATCTCTGCCTATCCCCAGTCCTGGGACCTTGCAGCTGGGTAGGAGGAGAGTTCCCATCTGCCCACAACTAGGTCCAGAGACCCTCTGATTTTCTTTTCATCTTAAATCTAGGAATTGCCAATGTTGGCCTCTGGGCCTGATTTCTAACATCAACATTCTCCCAGACAGGCTGAACTCACACATATTTGGGAGAAAAAAGCAAACTATTACACTACTGTTGTCTTTGCCAAGAGAAGGTCCAATAGGTAATCTCAGACCCCCATCTGGGCAGTCAGGGAGACTAGAGTCTGGCCCAGGGCCCACAGACAAAATGCGCTGCTAGGATCCCCACCAGCTCCCTAGCGTCAACCAGGGACCTTTTACAAATCTTGTCAAAGGCCACTTAGGGTCTCCAGGACCCACTCCAACCGTCCAGGCCCCTCCCCCACCCCATACCTCCTGTCCTTCTCAACTCCACAGCTCTCGGAAACCCTTCCAACCCATCCGCATTTCGGAAGTTTGGGAGGGCCGCTGGGCCGGCTGCCGGGCCTCTCTGCTGCTCTACACTTCACGAGGGATGCGGCCCAGGTGCCCCAGCACCCCAAGAGAGAGGAACAGGGGGCAGAGCCACCGCGGGTTTGGGTATCCTTGACACTGGCGCCCGAGAGCAAAGATTTTTCTCCTCTGTGCGCTGGAAGCCGCCACCTGCCAATCCCACCAAGGCGCCGCACCCCCCACACCCCTCTAGCAACCCGAGACGGAGAACAGGGTTTATGGGCGACTCCCAGGACGGGTTTCATCGGAGCAGGAGGCTGCCTCTCCCCTCCACCGCCCAGAAGGATACGAACAGCAACACGCATAATAATAAAATAAGAGCAGGGGCTGCGCGCTACTGGAGCCCCCTCCCCTGCGCTCCCCGGTCTTTCCGCGGCTTCCCGGCCGCCTTCTCCTGGCAGCCACAGGTTGCTAGCATGACCTCGCGCCGCCCAGCCACCCTCCGCCGTCCGGGCGTGTCCAGCCCGCGGGGAATCACCTTTTGTCGGAGGGGAGAAGGGACTCAGCGAGGGAGTGAAACCGAAGGCCCGAGCGGAGGCGAGTCCCCAGCCGGCCTGCGCATCGGCGGCGGCGGCGCGGAGGAGAGAAAGGCCCAGAGCGGGCGAGGGCGAGGGTACTCACCGGGAGGCTCCCCAGCCCCGCCGGCTGCCGAGCCGCCCGCGGACGCGCTGGGCAACAGTTGAGCTCGCTCCTGTCCACTATTGTGTGTCCGGAAAACCGGACCGCGGCGGCGGGCAGAGCCACGGGCTCCCTCAGAAGCCGGAACATGACTTTTTTTTTTTTTTTTTTTTTTTTTGGTGTGTTTTTGTTTTGGAAGCGCAAGTTTTCGTATTAATCTCATACTTTGGCAGTCTTTGTTAAACAGGCGCGTCACGAGGCTCTCAAACATTTTAATAATTTTTAGACGCCGTGACCTGTGGTTCACCCCTCTCCCGGCCTCCCCCACCAGCAGGCAGTTACTATAATACGCTCGCGCAGTTCGCTGGGTCATATTGAATTTTGCGTAGGTCATTACTTGGGAGAAAAATGACAGAGCAGAAATTTGATTCAGCTCATCCTCTCCAGCTCGACTTTTCGCCAGTCTTCTCTTCACCCAACCCCCACCCCAAAAAAGTCCCATTCGGATAAGAGACAGTCGGCCACGCCCCTGTTTTGATTTTCCATCATTCCCATATTTTTGTCAGCTCTGGTTCCAGAGAGAGTGTGGGGTTTCACGTGGGATCCTTTTGAGGCCTGAGAAGGAGGCTGGCACGGGGAAAACTGAAAGCGTGGCTTTGGGCATCTGGGCCCCAGAGAGCAGGCCTGAGCAAGAGGCCCCTTCCCTGAACCTTACCCCTAAATGCCTGTATGGCCAGGGCCCGGATCCCTACCCCACTGCACACTCCATCTGCTTTGTTGGCTCCGCTAAGTGTCAGAGATATCCTCATTTCTACAAAAGCTTTGGAAGCTCCAGGGCCTAGAAATGACCACTCCACCTCTTGGGGCCAAGATTTTGGTCCACACAACCTAGCAGTTTTGAGGAAGATAGAACCCTGAGAGACGTGCTGGGCTGGGCTGGTCAAAGCTGGGGACATAACTTTCAGAGTTTTAACTGTCCTTTAAATACAAAACAATAGCTTCCCCCTCCCCCCAAATAATCGTTCTCATCAATACAGTAACACTTTTGCCTACCCCCATCAACCACACAAGGAGGTTCAGGAGCAGATCAAGAAGGCATTTAAAACAGTGAGATTTTCTTGTGTTTGTCTC